CGGCAAACCTCATTTTTTTAAGTGTAGAATTCTGTATAGGTTTACTACAATAAAAATAAAACAGACACTTAGAAATAAAGGTACAAAATCTGTCACTGGGCTGGTACCTTTTCAAAAGGTACACTTTTGTACCATACAGCTGGACAATCAAACCTTTAGTGTACACTTTTGTAACTTTAAGATTCTCTTTTGTACCCTTAAGGTTGTATGAGGTACACATTTGTACTTTTTTGTGGCATTCATTTGTACCTTTAACGACCTGTTAGGAACAAAAATGTACCATTTGAAAAGGTACTGCCCCAGTGACAGATTTTGTCCCTTTATTTCTGAGAGTGCACCTACAGTGCTAAACCTCTAAAATAAAGCATCTATATTTAATTTCAATCATTCATTCATTCATTTTCTTGTCGCCTTAGTCCCTTTATTAATACGGGGTCGCCACAGCAAAAAGAACCGCCAACTAATACAGCAAGTTTTTACGCAGCGGATGCCCTTTCAGCCGCAACCCATCTCTGGGAAACAACACACACATTCACACACACACACACTCATACACTACGGACAATTTAGCCTACCCAATTCACCTGTAACGCATGTCTTTGGACTGTGGGGGAAACCAGAGCACCCGGAGGAAACCTACGCGAAGGCAGGGAAAACATGCAAACTCCACACAGAAACGCCAACTGAGCCGAGGCTCGAACCAGTGACTCAGCGACCTTCTTGCTGTGAGGCGACAGCACTACCTACTGCGCCACTGCCTCGCCTATATTTAGTTTCAATCCTTAAAATTCTTTTATTTTGTTATAAATTTTTATATTATTTAATTTTTTAATGAAAAAAAAAAAAAACGAAGCTGAGATACCACACCATAAAAACAAACAAACATTTGGACCCTGTAATCATGTTTCAACCCTTCTGTTTTCTCACACTGTAAACAAAATGTTGGGTTCCAATTAAGTTAAGTCATCAGTTTTTTACAAATTTAAGTGAACTGAACTGAAAGTTGTCCTCAAAACCCTTATGAATTGTGTTGTTTCAGCTTATTTTTACACTGTAAAGCCTGACAGTCCACTTTATCAGATGAAGCGAGTGTAGTTTGTAAAATTGACAGAAATAAAAACACCCATACACACTCATTCACACTCATGCACTACGGACAATTTAGCTTACCCAGTTCCTCTATAGCGCACCCACACCAACATTGGGAGAACATGCAAACTCCACACAGAAATGCCAACAGACCCAGCCAAGGCCCGAACCTGCAACCTTCTTGCTGTGAGATAAACGTGCAACCCACTGAGCCACCATGCTGCCCTCTTAAGTGACTTGAGTAAACACATTTCTGGGGTTAATTAGCAAAATGTATCTTTTATATTTGAAAGAAATGTTTTGAAAGTCAACCTGTAAAGTCCTGACAAGTGTTAAAATTAAAAAGTAGTAGGTATTGCTGTCGCCTCACAGTAAGAAGGTCGCTGGTTCAAGCCTCGGCTGGGTCAGTTGGCATTTCTATGTGGAGTTTGCATGTTTGCAAATCCAAAGACATGCACTATGGGTGAACTTGGTAAGCTAAAATTGTCCGTAGCGTATGTGTGTGAATGAGAGTGTATGGGTGTTTCCCAGTGATGGGTTGCAGCTGGAAGGGCATTCGGTGCGTAAAACATGTGCTGGATAAGTTGGCAGTTCATTCCGCTGTGGTGACCCCGGATTAATGGGGGGACTATGCTGACAAGAAAACTAATGAATGAATATTATATTATATTATATTATATTATATTATATTATATTATATTATATTATTTGCTACTATATTATGTTATATTATATTATAGTATTTGATATTATATTTTATTATATTAAAGGATTTTGATTCTATATTTTATTATATTATTTGATATTATATTATATAATTTAATATTATATTATTTGATACTATATTATATTATATAATATAGTATCAAATAATATAATAAAATATCAAATACTATAATATAATAATATAATATAATATAATATAATATAATACAATATAATTAATATAATATAGTAGCAAATAATATAATATAATATAATATAATATAATATAATATAATATAATATAATATAATATAATAATAAATAAGTGAAAATGACAAAAGCACAAAACAATACTACAAATGAGGTGAAAATATAAACCTGAAAGCTAATTATTGTTTATAAATCCTATAAATAATAACAAAATAACACTGGCATTGAATGCATAAACATATCTGCTATTATTACTCATTAAAGAACATAACATGGATTAACAAACTGTGACCACATGCCCCACAGCAGGGTATAGTCATAAAATATATGGACTAAGTAAGCCAGGGGTGTCCAATCACGGTCCTGCAGGGCCGGCGTCCTGGAGAGTTTAACTCCAACCCTAATCAAACACACCTGAACCAGCTGATCAAGCTTACTAGATATACTAGAAACTTCCTGGCAGGTGTGTTAAGGCAAGTTGGAGTTAAAATCAGCAGGACAACGGCCCTCCAGGACCGAGTCTGGAGACCCCTGAAGCTTTTGAGGTGAAGCATTTAGTTGCATTTACTCATCTTTATGTTTCACTTGTGTGAAACTCGCAGCAATATACATCTTTCATTTATCAGTTTTATTAAATTCAGTGTAATAATTTTCCCTTAAAGTATATATTTTTACTAAAAAAACACTTGACTTTCATTTAAATTCTTAATTGTAGGGTTATTAGACACTTTTATACTGTAGTATAGTACACTTTTTTATGAATGTATTTATTCTATGTCATCATATACACTCGGGTGTGAATTTCATCAAATAAAAATGCAACATTTAAACTCTTTCCATGTTTTTCCCCCTTTAAAACAAACAAACTGAATGAAACAAACAAAATTATTAACAGTTGTTTGCAAAGTTTTGAACAAAGCAGATTTTATTAACTGTATTTGCTGCATATACTGTTACTGAAGGCATCTGAAGTCTTATTTAGTGCAAGAAACGGTGCTTAATGATAATGTAAACTGATTACATATGACACGCTGAGACCACAACCACTGGATTATCATCAATAAATGAGACCCAGGACAAGGAAAACTTGTTAATAATAATAGAGTGAGAACTCTCATACACCGTTAACAATTTCCTATATAATCTATAGCAGGGGTCGGGAACCTTGTTTCAGCAAAGAGCCATTTCTGATTTTTTTTGTAAAGAGCAATTTGGATGTGTGTGTGTGTGTTTGTGTTTGTGTGTGTGTGTGTATATATATATCTCAAGATGCCTTTTTAAAAATGCATTTGCTACTGTATTACTATAAGTTACTAAAAATATTATAGTATTACTACTAATACTTTATTATTATTTGTAAAATTATGATAATACAGGTTTAAATAAAACCTTAATTTATGTCCATGCTCAACTCAAAAATGAACAAATATGAAGCATCACATGCTGAGCAAATCCATGAATGAAGAAAGAACAATTTATAGTACTTTTATTTCAGCTATTATCTCTCATGAATGTTGTTTGAATTTAAGTTACAATAGAAATGTAGGTACTTTGCCCTTTATTGGTGTCGCAATTCAATTTAATTCACATTGCCACAAACGCACATTGGTCGAAACCTCTTTTAATTGTTGACCGAGTTCTTATTTAGGCCCCGTTTACACTAGCGCGTATAGTTTTAAAATGCCGTTTTAGATCAAAAACGATCTGCGTCCACACTTGCGTTTCACTCAGCGTTTCTGAACATATCTCCGTCCACACTACGCCACCAAAAACGTATATCATGTGACCATTCGTGCACTCTGAGCATGCGCGTTCTAGTATTAACAGGAAGCATGCGTCTCGCTCGGCATTTGGTTACTGTCAGTCAACAAACGCCGGTTGCACGATAAACGCGATGGCAAAAAGCAAGAGAGGTATTTTTGTGGACAGACGACGAGGTTGAGTTGTTACTCAACGTAACAAATGAATAACTGCACAATGGCGACTAAAACAGACAATAGTGCAAACAACACTCCCATTTCTGTGTGCATGTTGTTGTTTACAGTGAAGGCTGGTCTGCTGTCTTCCGGTAGCGTTAAAGCCATGTGTTATAGTCATGTGATTTCGGCTTGACGAATAAGGGAAGGATATGGAATGACACAAAATCTCAGTAGCACCGCCTCCATTTTCAGATGTGTCCGTTTTCTTTCGCACACTGAAGCCTGATTTATACTTCTGCGTCAAGTGACCGGCGTAACCCACGGCGCATGCAACGCGCGTGGCTGTGCATTTATATTTCTGCGCGCTGTCTCTGTTGGTCTGCATTAACACTTCCGAAACGCTAGTTGGCAGTGAGGTGTAAATGTTCCTCTGTGTCGAGTTTCTTCGCGGCTTTTTTGCGTTTCCTGAACACTTCCGGGATGTACAAGTGGCTCAAACTCGCTCATTTTGAGGCAGGAACCGGCGGACGTGCAACAACTTTAACTATGAGGTAAACACAAAACAAAACTTTCCATCCGGAGCTCCTTGACGGGACTCCACACTTGTAAACAATCGCTCGCGCCATTCGCGCGGCTCTCGGTCCCGCCCAGACTCGTCAGCGCTACCAAGCCGACCAATCACAGAGCTTACGCTACGCGTCGTTGCGACGTGAAGTTACATTTTTTGAGAGGTGCACGTCAGTGACGCCGATGGCCACGGCGAAGGGCTATGCGTCAGCACCGTAGCATACGCCGGCGTTTGACGCAGAAGTATAAATCAGCCTTGAGACAGAGCAGCAGCGTTTCAGAATGAAAACGGCCTCTCCAGCGTTTTCGAAACGCTCCGTTTTCGGCGCTCGAGAACTCCGGCGTAGTGTGTACGGATGGCGAAACCGTAGCATAACTTATGCGTTTTAAAACGAAAACGCATTAGTGTAAACGGGGCCTTATTGTATAAAATTACAATTTAAAAAGAGATTGTAATTGTATTTTCGATAGGAAACTGATTCGTAGTGATGGTTATAGTTTTTTTTTTTTAACGGTAAAATAATATTGAAGGAAGACAGCCTTGAGAGACGCATATTTTTGGTCAAAGAGCCTCATGTGGCTCGAGAGCCATAGGTTCCCTACCACTGATCTATAGCATAGGTGTCAAAGTCGATTCCTGGAGGGCCGCAGCTTTGCTCCAATCCTAATCAAACACAACTGATGCAACTAATCGAGGTGTTTAAAAGAATCTTGAACACTTTGATTAGTTGGACCTGCAGTGTTTGATTAGGTTAGGAGCAAAACTGTGCAGAGCTGCGGCCCTCCAGGAATTGACGTTGACACCTATGATCAACAGTAACTTCTCCTGAGTCTCTGCGCCTGATGCACACTAGATAATCAGCTAAACTAGCTGTCAGTCTCAGACAATTGGTTTATGGAGAGCAGAAGCGTCCGTAAAACAGAATGCTCTTGGTGGGATTGTGTCGGATGAAGAAAAGGAACGGATGATCTGCATTAAAGGACTGTGGGAGTCTTATGCACCGAAGCATCATTATGGCACCGGTGGCTGCAGCCGCTTCGGTTCCTTCTTCATTGACTTCAACAAAGGCTTTATGAATGACCTTGGACAGCACCAGGTCATTGCTGGAGGACATGCCTGTTAGATTAACCTTCTGTGGGTCAAACACATCCTCCATCCCCATGCTGACCAGAAGACTCTTCATGTCGTAGGTTTGCTCCATCTTGAATTTAGGCAGAGAGACTTGAACCTCCTGTTGACGCATCACTTCCGGTTTGGTCCACTCCATGAGCTTCTCGTAGGTCAGTGCCTTCTCAAGCTGGAGGATAAGAGAGTCATGTTCAACTTTATTTCCAGACACTAGGTACAGAACAATATGCACAAAATAAAAAAGATAGTTATGCCAATACTTCCTCAAAAGTGACTGGTAGTCACGTTAAGTCATGCTTATTAATGTTTTTAAAACCTTTCGAAAACATCAGCACCATGCATTTTTTCCATGCCATCTGTTCCAGACGTACTGTTTCCATTCACTTTCCCCATTGGGATTCTAAAGTCTTTGCTCAAGGCACTGTTGCAAAATAGAAAATGTGCTGCCAATTTACTCAACACCAGGTCATGCCAGACTGGGTGATGTTTTTTCTTTCAGTAGGACATTAGAGGAGAAGATTGTAAGCTGTGACTATGGTCCTTCATTATACTTAACGTGCAGGTCTACATTATATTAGATTACACTCACCGGCCACTTTATTAGGTACACCTGTCCAACTGCCCGTTAACGCAAATTTCCAATCAGCCAATCAAATAGCAGCAACTCAATGCATTTAGGCATGTAGACATGGTCAAGACGATCTGCTGCAGTTCAAACCGAGCTTCAGAATGAGTAAGAAAGGGGATTTAAGTAAATTTGAAGGTGGCATGGTTGTTGGTGCCAGACGGGCTGGTCTGAGTATTTCAGAAACTGCTGATCTATTAGGATTTTCATGCACAACCTTATCTAGGGTTTACAGAGAATGGTCTGAACAAGAGAAAATATCCAGTGAGCGGCAGTTCTGTGGGCGCAAATGCCTTGTTGATGCCTGAGGTCAGAGGAGAATTGCCAGACTGGTTCCAGCTGATAGAAAGACAACAGTAACTCAAATAAGCACTCATTACAACCGAGGTCTGCAGAAGAGCATCTCTGAACACACAACACGTCCAACCTTGAGGCAGATGGGCTACAGCAGCAGAAGACCACACCGGGTGCCACTCCTGTCAGCTAAGAACAGGAAACTGTGGATACTATTCGCACAGGCTCACCAAAACTGGACAACAGAATATTGGAGAAACGTTGTCTGCTCTGATGAGTCTCCATTTCTGCTGCCAGATTTGGATAGTAGAGTCAGAATTTTGCGTCAACAACATGAAAGCATGGATCCATCCTGCCTTGTATCAACAGTTCAGGCTGCTGGTGGTGGTGTAATGGTGTGTGGATATTTTCTTGGCATACTTTGGGCCCATTAGTACCAACTGAGCATCAGGTCAACACCACAGCCTACCTGAGTATTGTTGCTGACCATGTCCATCCCTTTATGACCACAGTGTACTCATCTTCTGATGAATACTTCCAGCAGGAAAACACACCATGTCATAAAGAGTGAATCAGCTCAGACTTGTTTTTTTTAACATTATCATGAGTTCACTGTATTCAAATGGCCTTCACAGTTACCAGATTTCAATCCAATAGAGCAGCTTTGGGATGTGGTGTAATGGGAGATTGGCATCATGGATGTGCAGCCGACAAATCAGCAGCAACTGTGTGATGCTCTCATGTCAATATGGAGCAAAATCTATGAGGAATATTTCTAGTACCTTGTTGAATCTGTGCCATGAAGGATTAAGGCAGATCTGAAGGCAAAAGGGGGACCAATCCGGTACTAGTAAACTGTACCTAATAAAGTGGCCGGTGGGTGTATATTGTTTAGATTAACTATATAGTAGGGATGTATAAGTTTTTGCATACAGCCTTAAGGCCTTTGCACACTGAAATCTCAAATTTTCTAAATGTTTTTTGATCATGCTGCTTTATTGGAATAGTTGAAGCTAAAAAGCCCAGTAGTGCATTTTGCTTTGGCTTATGATTGGTAAAAAAAAAATGCTGGGTTGTTTCAACCCAACATTGGGTTAAAAATAGACAAACTCAGTAGCTATGTTTCCATCCAAAAATGCAAATTAACTCGAGTTTTACTATGCGCAAAACGGGATTATCGCATAAAAGACGTGCGAATAAAGCAGCGTTTCCATCGAAGTAATCAAAGAGAACAAAATTGTCACTTCCTGATTAACTGGCGCCAAATATCAACAGTAAATGTGAAATTTGCTGCGGTAGAAAAAGCTGACTGATTATAACTATTAACTTATTATTATTAACTTATTATAACTACACTTTTTGATGTACCAAAAATATTTCCTACCATTTTGTCAAATTTCTTTATTTACACGTGTGCATTTAAACTGTAAGCTTTATATTACAGTTTTATAAATAATAAAAATATTAGAAATTAGAACTTTAAACTCTCAGATTAAAGAAATGAAAAGTTCAGATGCCAAAACCTCTAAAGGCCATGTAAAATAAGCATTTTTCTCAGCCTCATATATTTATGTTCAGTTATTTCACTTTAAAGGCAATAAAACAGGAATGATTCGCATCCCATCCTGCAGAGGTTACATCACAGCACATGCTTTTAGTCATTTTTGTGTGAAACTGAGCTTTGCAGAGCAACAAATGTGTACAACTGGAAAGTGGCCGGTATATGATGCAATAATTGTTTATCTCGATTAACGGTGATCGGTTTTTCATAATCGTTCGAAGCCAAAAGAGAAATCGAAACTGAATTTTCGATTAATTGCACAGCCCTAGTTGATAGTTCTGTGAAGAGTCTTGAACAGTCATGAAACCTTTACATTACACAAAAGAATATATTTATTAGGGCTTGCATAGACTAGTCGACTAGTCGAGCGATCGACTGCTTCAACCACTAGTCGGCGCTCTCAGAAGCAATCGACTACTCGAGCGTGCATTTACCATAAATGTCATCAAAAGGACAAACGTAACTAACAAACATCACGATCCGAGGTTAAAGCTTCCAACTACAACTGAAGATTAAATTCAAGATTATTTACATTATCAACATTAACACCACAGGGAATCCTCTCGAATGGTAGTTAAATGGTTTTTGTATAACAGACTATTACTTGCGCACACATGATCGTTTGTTATTTTAGTAACTGTTGAAACGAAGCAGAAATTAAATGACTGAATGAGATTTAGCCTAGCTCAGGATAATTTTATTAATCTTTTAATTAGTTTTATGAATACTGCGTTATGAATGTGAGTTTTCAGGACGCATTTTAAAACATTTACAACATTTCAAAATCTGTCTTACCTTCTCAAGGCCAGTGGTTGCGTCTTCAATCTGATCAGGAAGGATGATCAACATACTGAGATTCTTCCCCACATAAGGCAGCTCCAGAACCTGACTGTTCATCTCTGGGATTGAAGCTAGTGGAAAATGAGCTTTCTGATACATCATCTTCACTGGTTTAGTTTGATTCTGCCAAGCATAAGTTACATTTTATATTCTCGTTTCTCCTTCTTAGAGACTTAAGTTCAACAAGAGTCTGAAATCTCACCTTATTCAGCTTGAACTGCCCATCATTGGTGGCTTCTTTTGGGAATTTCCTCTCCCAGTTCCCCTTGAAGTAGATGGCGTTCACCAAAACCAGTCTTGTCATTGCATCAATGGCTCCTGACGGCAGCAAATCCTTGATCTTCTCTACAGTACAAATGGACAATTTCTTCTTCTAGCCTTGATCTGAACTGGTTAATTTGACATATTACATCTATATGACCTTATGAGGCCACGCTTGCTGCACAAAATCTATTATATTTGGAGTTTCATGCTGGTTTTTGAAGTTCACGTTGGGTTTTACCTTGTGTGTTTTTCTCCACCCATGTGTTGATGTTGACACGTGCAGCTTCTGATTTATTCTTGAAGTCCACCTTCTCCAGTCCGGCTTCATAGTATCTTTTTGCATCACTGAGAAATTTCTGTAACATTGAAAACCATTGAGTTGTGACAGAGTTGAGAACTTGAGCAGGTCTAGAATGGTTTGCTTTCAGTTTTACCTCAACAAACTGGTAGGTCTGCTCTCCGTAGAGGCGGTTGGCGAGACTCAGCACATACGGGGCTCCTGGTTTGTTCAGTTCACTCATAAACTTGTTGAAGTTTGAATGAATTTGCTCCTCAGCTTTTTGTCCAGGCACTGCAGAACCTTTCTGTGTACATCAACAGTATCATATTAAATTAAATTAACTACACAAATCTAAAACTGCAGTATTTTAGTTATGAAGTAATTCGGTTAATGTTTCATGTAAACACTGATTGCAAACCTTGAGTTCTGCAGGTATATCAATCTTCTGTGTTTGTTGCATCATTGCTTGTCCATGTTGATCCTTGACTCCACTCTTGGGCTTTTGGGCTTGTTGCATCATCGATTGATGAGCTTCTGGAGTCGCACCGGCTGATTTGGGAAGATTGTTAAATCCCAAGACCTACACAGAGTAAAAAACAACTGATAAGGATAAATATTTGTTCAATAAGGACATATAAGAAAGGTTAAAATGCACTTGAAGGAACACATGCACTGCAAAAATATCTGAAAATTAGTGTTTTCCATATTTTGTGATTCATTTTTAATTTTCCCCTATTTATTTCTGCTTTTGAATTGGATTATGGCGTCTTGATCTTTCTTCCAATAACTTTTAACCTTGAAAAGATTAAAAAAAGTGACTTTAATGGACATTTTGAATAGCTTAAAGTGCTATTCACAGGTGTCAAACTCAGTTCCAAAAGGGCCGCAGCTCTGCACAGTTTAGTTCCAACCCTAATTAAACACACCTGATCAAACTAATTGAGTCCTTCAGGCTTGTTTAAAATCTACAGGTAAGTGTGTTGGAGCAGGGTTGGAACTGAACTGTGCAGGGCTTCGGCCCTCCAGGAATTGAGTTTGACACCCCTGTGCTATATTGTCTCGGTTGGTGTTTAATAATACACTACAAAAACCTTGTAATAACATTAATAATATTATTTCTTATATATTATATTATTTGAAGCTACTAAATTGTCAATAAAAGTCACTTTGCTAAACTGTAGAGTTAAATTTAGTAGAAGTAGAAGTAGACAGAGCAAGCATACAACTCTTTCTTGACATAAAACCACACGTTTGAAGAACGTGCCACCCCCCAGCCTATTTAGTTTAATATATTGTCCCATTTCTAGGGCGAGGCAGTGGTGTAGTAGGTAGTGCTGTCACCTAACAGCAAGAAGATCGCTGGTTCGAATCTCGGCTCAGTTGGCGTTTCTGTGTGGAGTTTGCATGTTCTCCCTGCCTTCGCGTGGGTTTTCTCCGGGTGCTCTGGTTTCCCCCACAGTCCAAAGACATGTGGTACAGGTGAATTGGGTAGGCTAAATTGTCCGTAGTGTATGAGTGTGTGTGTGAATGTGTGTGTGGATGTTTCCCAGAGATGGGTTGCAGCTGAAAGGGCATCCGCTGCGTAAAAACTTGCTGGATAAGTTGGCGGTTAATTCCACTGTGGCGACCCTGGATTAATAAAAGGGAGTAAGCCGACAAGAAAATGAATGAATGAATGAATGAATATTGTCCCATTTCTCTCGCTTTTAATTTTTTCTTTTCTTTTATTTCTTTTATTATCATTGTTCATTTTACTTAATACACCATGCTGTCAACCGCTACTTCCGGTACCGACCTGTTTGTATGGTCAATTTGAAAAATGAATGCACATCATATATTGTTTATGCACATCATATACTATGTGTCGCACAATATGAGGTTTAAAGTGTGGTTTATTTTATTCTTTTTTTTCTATCTGTACTGTTATTGCTTTTGTTTGTTAGCTGTCATAAAAATCTAATAAATAAATCTTTTAAAAAAAAAGTAGACAAAGCAGAGATCAACATCCTATAATGCAATTCACCACTGGAAATAAGTGAAGTTTCATAAACTAATTTCGAGAGGAGCACGTGATATGATTGTGCACTGCTGGCCACTCATCCGTAATCAGTAATCATCCAATCAGAGTGATCCTAGCTTAGTATAAATGGATCACTTTCTCCTCATTGCACTATCTTCGTTTTGGAAGAATCCCCCCTTCCACCCCATCTCCTCCTTTTTCTCCCCTTCTAAAGGGGGAGCGATCGAGACCTACCTGATCTCGGTTCTCCTGATATGCTTGTAGACCGGGCGGGAGCCCTGGGCTCAAATATCTCCGAGCTCAGGGTCCTCTCCCGGGAAAGCATGCCAAACCTGCTATAAGTGCCAAGCATATCTAAGTGGGAACTCTTGAAATAGGAAAACGTTTGTGAATCACAAAATACAGAAACTTATTACAGCGTGATGTCAGATAAATTGTTTATTTTTGCACCCTGATGCTTTTGACTGGCTATAAATGATGGAAAGAATGATTTTGTTTATGTCACGCCTTCTCAGCTAAAGAATAACACTAGTCTAATCTCAATTAAGAATTTATTTGAACGTTAAAGATGTACATTTAAATAAATAAATAACATTAGCACAGAGGAACAACTTCATAAATGCATAAAAACAATGTCAACCGTTCAGAATCCATCCTGCTTTAGAGAATGCCATGATTTAAAGCGGGAGATAACAGAACTGTCCATATGCTTTAAGTAAATAAAATGTAATCGTGCGGAGTGTAAATGCATTCATGTTATCATTATGGTTAAGTTTATGTTGTCTACTTTTGGGTGAACATTTTTTTTTTTTAGTGAAGTTTATTCATAAACTAATTTCGAGAGGATCACGTGCTTATGATTTATCACGGCCGGTCTCGCATTTGCTAATCAGTATCTTCCAATCATTCGAGACCTAAGCTACTATAAATAACCACAGTGTTAAATTCACTTTATCTTCGTTTGGAAGAAACCCCCCTCCTCCCCTTTTCCTCCTCTTTTACCTCTGACTGGGCGACACATCGGCCCAGTGGTTAGCACTGCGAGCCCCACAGCAAGAACAACGCCAGCCCTGGCCCCCCAGGACCGGTGAGTGTTTCTGTGAGGAGTTTGTATGTTCTCCCCGTGTCCGCGTGGGTTTTCCCCGGGTGCTCCGGTTTCCTCCCACCGTCCAAAGACATTAAATATATATAAAAACCAAGCATTTATCTAATTCTTGTGTTCCCACAGCAGCGGGGGAGTTCTGAGATCCACCGAGCTCAGGCTCCCCTCTCGCTCTCCCAAACGGGAGGAAGCCCCGGACTCGAGGAGTCCTTGAGCTCGGGGCTCTCTCCCGGGACAGCATGCCAAACAAGCTTTTATAAATCATCAGCTAAGTGTGAACTCTTGAATTATTGTTTAATGTTTATGAATGAAAATATACAAACATAATCAGGACATCAATATATATAAGAAGGAAAATACAAGAAATACAAAATACAAGAAACAAAGGAAAGGATAAGCTAAGTGATTTATAAGCCTGTAAGACTTGAGATAACACAAATATTTTGATGTCTTTGACAATTCAAATATGAGCTGGAAACACAGAGACAATTGGCTCCACAACCCAGCAGCTGGGAATGCGGGAAAACCAGCTCTTCTCCTTTCCTACATTTACATTTGAAGCATCCCTGCAACCCCGCTGTTCACCCCCCCCTTTCTACATACTGTACTCACACAGAATGGTCATTTCGAAGTATGAATGTTTTATATTAATCAAAGTGACTTTATCTATGATGTTCGATATCATTTGAAATGTCTCAGAGCGACTGGTACAATGGTCTTATTCCCTCGGAAATAGACATAATCAAAACAATAGATATAGAACTTCAGGTATCTGTTGCACCACTGTAAAGGGTGTGTTTTTCCTATAGGCAGAAACTCTTCGACTAAATGCAAATGCCTTTTGTTATTCGACACACCCCTTTCCTCGAGAAGATTCTTGGATTTACTACTTAAGGGAAAGTTTCTAAATGTTCAGCTCGATCCGGGTGCTCTGTTTCCCCCCACAGTCCAAAGACATGCGGTACAGATGAATTGGATACAGGCTGGATTGTCCATAGTGTATGAGTGTGTATGTTCCCCAGAGATGGGTTGCAGCTGGAAGGGCGTCCGCTGCATGAAACATGTGCTGGATAAGTTGGCGGTTCATTACGCTGCCCCGGATTTTAATAAAGGGACTGAGCCAAAAAGAAAATGAATGAATGAGTCTGGTTAAATTCTCCTTCGGCCCAAGGCTCGCAATGATATTTAGTTTTTGGCCATCTATACGTAAAAGTTTGGGCACCCGTGCTAAAGATTATGAAATAAATGCTTACAGGAAAGATATATAAATCTAATCAGAGTCCACTGCTGAAAAGCAGCTTAATCAGTCTAGGCTGGTTGGCTGGTTTTAGCTGGTCAACCAGGCTGGTTTTAGAGGGGTTTTGGCTACTTCTAGGCTGGTTTCCAGCCATTTCCAGCCTGGTCTTAGCTGGTCAGGCTGGAAATGACCAGATAAAACCATCTAAAACCAGCTTCCTGGTTTGGGCTGGGCTCCCAGCCTGGCTAGACTGGTCAAGCTGGTTTTAGCTGGTCATCCCCAGCCTGACCAGCTAAGACCAGGCTGGAAATGGCTGGAAACCAGCCTGGAAGTAGCCAAAACCTCTCTAAAACCAGCCAACCAGCCTAGGCTGGTTTAAGCTGTTATTTTCAGTAGGGTCAACAGCTCTTTATATTATAGTATCAGAATCGGACATGTTTTGTTACACATATGGAAAGATTTGAGCAGTGTCATCCTCGGGTGCGCTGTTTCTTTAAATTTCACTTGCATTCGCTGCGTAATATTGCGTAACTTCCTGGTTTTGTACTCTCTCCCCCTCTTTGAAGAGTCAAAAACTACAAAAATCATTGATTCTCTGTACAATCACCTTAAACATCTGATCTGCGGTGTTTCCTTTGGCACCGAGCGACACCATGGCCAGAGCCGAGGAGATGCTGACAGGAGAATAAAACACATTTCCTGATGCGTTTCCTCCGCTGATCTTCTTGAACAGGTTGAGGGAAAACTGTGTGTTTGCTGCAGACAGAGACTCCATTTTCACAAGCTGCACAAGAAACAGCAGAAAAAACAGATCATCAGCAACAAATAAAGTGTTTCAGGACGCTTTCTGTTTAAATACCAGAAGCAGCACTGCTCGGTTTCGTGTCCATAATGTAAACACAGCACGTCACTTTGTTGTCAATCGACGCTGTATATCTCATATCACTTTTCTGATATCAGCAGTTTAGCAATACAGGCAGTCTTTACCTCAGGACAGCAGGTTAGCAACTTACCGACAGACAGGCTTTTACTCAACAAAAGTATTCGGTTTCATTTCTATAATGTAAATAACATCGTTTCCTTTTTAGTTAATCGATGCTTTATCATATGCTATCACTTCTCTGATAGAACGGCAGTTGAGCAGTTTTTATACAGTCTTTACCTCAGGACAGCAGGTTAGCAACTTACACACAGCCTTTTAATCAACAAAAGTACTCGCTTTCGTTTCTATAATGTAAACAACATCACTTTTTTTGTCAATCGACGCTTTAAATCACACATGACAACACTTTCCTGATATCTGAACAGCAGTTTAGCAATTTATAGACATGGTTTAAGTCAACAAAAGAAGTTTAAAAGGCCATTACCAACAGAAATGACGAGGTTGTCCGTGTGTCTGAGGTGAATTACTTCAGTCAGAGTGTGTTGTTGAATGTCATGTTAATAAATGTTGCCTCGCCCTGAAATGCCTATCCTCTAAACCACAGCCAGCCCTCCTGTCAAAGCCAAAAGGCTTGTTTCGAGATGCCAAACTCCTTTCCTTTGATCGGAATGCACTGTAGGCGGCTGTTGAGTAAGGGAGGAGTGGGAGAGTGCTGTCATTTCAACATCTGCTGGTGGATAGAAGCAATACGCAATGAACTAATGCAAACAATGGCGCTCCTGGTTTTTTGTTAAGGATAAAAAGAGCTTCCAGTGATGTCAATAATCAGATATTTCACCCTAAAAAATGCCTGGGTTGAGAATTTAATTGGAAAAAAATTATATAATAATAATAATAATAATATTATAAAAATATTCCCAACATTGGGTTTGTGCATATTAAATCCAACGCTAGATAATTATTTTTTCAATTAAATAAAATGACATTTTTCAGCACAACAGTTTTGTGTGTTTATACAGCATGTTGTTAGTCAAATAGCAATAATAATAACAGTGTAAAATAAAGTATTTCTGGGGGCTGAAAAACTATAATACTCATATAAAAGGATATTTTTTGGCATTGATAATTCCATGAAGAACCTTTAACATCCACAGACTCCTACTTCTATCACAACAGGCCATCAAAAGTGCACTTTTTTCCCCAAACATTTCAGAATATTTTCTATTGTGTTAGTACAATGCATACAATAACACAATAAATATTTTATAATGACTGGGACCGAGTCGGTGACCATATATATATATATATATATATATATATATATATATATATATATATATATATATATATATATTGTCACCGACTCGGTCCCAGTCATTCCCCTCGCTGGCCAGCAGAGGTCACCATCCCCGGACTTTTAGCCATTACATCTCCCACGCTCACGCTTATAAGCAGCAACACACACAAACACACACACACACACACACACACACACACAGTCTTTGCGAAGTCTTGTTCTGCCCCGGCTTACACTACTGAGCGTTTATCTACACTGCCTGCTTTACCGTTGCTTACCTTGCTTTGTTCTCCGACCTCGTCCTGCCAGCCTCCTGCCTTGTACCTCAGCCTAATTACCGATTCTGATCCTAGCCGCCTGCCTTGAACTCTAGCCTGGACACCGACCTTGATATTCGCCGCCTGCCTCAGACCCATGCCAGAACATTCATACTTTGATAAACGTTACCTGCCGTTGATCCTTCAACGTAACACTATTGTGTTTGATGTGAGTTCGCACACGCATTACATCTGTGTGCTTGTGTTTATTAAACGGTTTTTAATTTACTGCAAATGGATTCCTCTGTGTCAGCCCCTTCATATATATATATATATATAATACACCACACCTCCTCCTTCACTTTAATACATTAATCTGTCATTTAATTCAACTGATCTTAATATTTAATCAAGAAATCATTCAATATGTCCATAGATTTTCAACTTCTCTGATTGTTGTCTGATCATTTGTAGTTATCAGTTACAACATGCGGCGAAAAGCTTTCAGAAACACCAACGGCTAATTATTTTCTCCTGATGATCACAATTGGATCAAGTATAAGTAAAATTAAAATTACTGTACAGTAAATACATTTTTTATTGCTTGTGTTTGTAAACGACTTGATGTGTTTCCGTATACAAGTCTGATACATGAAAGTATAAGCAGATGACATATTTGACCTTCATTCATTCATTCATTTTCTTCTCGGCTTAGTCCCTTTATTAATCTGGGGTCGCCACAGCGGAATGAACCGCCAACTTATCCAGCAAGTTTTTTTATGCAGCGTATGCCCTTCCAGCTGCAACCCATCTCTGGGAAACATCCACACAAACATTCACACACACACTCATACACTACGGACAATTTAGCCTACCCAATTCACCTGTACCGCATGTCTTTGGACTGTGGGGGAAACCGGAGCAGGGCAGGGAGAACATGCAAACTCCACACAGAAACGCCAACTGAGCCAAGGTTCGAACCAGCGACCCAGCGATCTTCTTGCTGTGAGGCGACAGCACTACCTACTGCGCCACTGCCTCACCTACATATTTGACATACAAGTTCATATTTGGATTTCATCAGATCTACAAAGTGCATTGCTTAAATTTTGCTTTATAATGAACTGTAACAGTGTAATGAGTCAACATGATGCATTGCAGAGATTGTGCAAGCATATCCATATCACCATTATAGTTTCATAACAAAACATTTCTGGGGAACAGCTCATGAATGATCGATAAATAACATTTCTGAGCTATTATATTGAAATTAAAGAGGTAAAAATGTTAGCAATACTAGAAATGCATCTGAAGGAACTTGTCGAATTGCCAGAATTTGTAGTGTTTAACTGTAATTTAAACAGGGAAATAAGTAAAGCAAGGAATGGATAACTACTACATGCATAATTTACTTCTCGGTGGTGCAAATCCTGCAATAGTTTTTTCATTAGACTGTGGCAAAGTGTGGTAAGTTCATATTCATATATTCTTGTTCATGTAGCCTACAGCCATGCAACTCTTGCTTTTAGGCGGACACACAAATAGTTGTGGAAGGAGTTACCTGTTCCAGTGAGAGGTAAAATAAGTGTGAACTGTGAGTCACACTGGGTGTGACTGAGGACACACTTTCATCATTGCACAGTAGGTATGCTGTGATCCCAGTGTCTGGTGTTGCGCCAGGTATATTGTAAATTATGGCCTGTTGTAAATCACAAGATGAGAAAAAAAGTTCAGTTTTTGCTTTGTTTGAGTCTCCAGTCATTTTGTGCTAATTGGAAACTTTTATTTTGTGCATAAACACTGCTGGACAAAAGTCTTGTTGCCTATCCAGGTTTTAGGAACAACAGATAATGACTTCTAGTTGATCATTTGGCATCAGAAGTGGCTTATATGAAAGGCAAAGGCCTGTGGATTACACTTATTTGAGCACAATAAAATATGATCATGCCTTGATTTTTAATGATTGAATTAGGACAGTAATGTATGACTTTGCTTACACTAAAGTCTCATCACTGAACAAAAATAATGTCCAGTATTGAATATAAAGTCCTGCTGCAGTGGAGACAGAATGAATATTGTGTCTGACTCCATCATGAGCTTGGAGGACTGCATCCATACATCTCTGACATGACTCAAATCACTGATTAGTAAAGTCATCTGGAATGGCAAAGAAAGCGTTCAGCAGGACTCCCAGAGTTCATCAAGATCCTTTGGATTCGTCTTCACTGCCTCCTCCATCTTACCCCAGACATGCTCAATAATGTTTAAGTCTGGTGACTGGGCTGGCCAATCCTGGAGCACCTTTGCTTTCAGTAACTTTGATGTGATGGAACTTTTCGTTGACAAGACTTTTGTCAGGTAGTGTAGACAGCATCTCTAAATGTGGAGTCATTTAATGTATAAAATGTAGTTGCTATTATTACTGTTCTTGATATCATTGAATAATACCATTTGATATATTAAAGCTTGATTGCTGTCTTACTACAACACCAAATCAGAAAAATATATGGAAAAGACGAATAAAAAAAGAGTAGGGATTACTAAATTTATTTTTGACTTGTATTTCATTGCAGACAATACAACAAACAATATTTAATGTGTTCCTTATGGTTTGTTTTTTCTCAAAACGCATATTTCACACTGTTTCAATTTACTATGATCTTCTATGTGAAGCTGCTTTGACACAATCTACATTGTAAAAGCTCTTTAGAAATAAAAGTGAATTAGGGTTCTTTCACACCTGTGAATCGATTCAGTTGTTCCGAAACAGAGATTACAGTTGTTACATTGTTGCTCTTTGCTCTTGGAGCGGTTCGCTTTCACACTGCAAAGTTTCTACTCGGACCAAAAGAGCTAAAGCAAGTCACGTGTGAGTAAACTCTCCTTACATTGGTCAGAGTGTCAGGGTTTATTTTGCAGCGTCCCGCTCAGCTGCCAGGAGAGGTCGTGGTTTAGTGGTGTTTGACAAGGTGCGCGCGATGTGTCTGAAGAGTGAGGAGAGATGCGGTGGAGAGGGGTGAGAAGGGTGCGCAACGTAGTCTATTTGAGGACCGGGAGGGAGACGCGAGATTACCGGGAGATCATCACTCGTTTGCGGGCATCCGGAGACTTGCGAAACTTCTCGCCCTACTCATAATTCTCTCTTCATATACATTTACATTACATTTACATTTAGTCATTTAGCAGACGCTTTTATCCAAAGCGACTTACAAATGAGGACAAGGAAGCAATTTACACAACTATAAGAGCAAAAATGAATAAGTACTAAAGGCAAGTTTCAGGTCTGTAAAGTCTAAGAAGGGAAGTGTTAGTAGTTTTTTTTTTTTTTTTTGTACAGTTAGTGTGATATTCAAAGAGGCAATTGCAGATTAGGAAGTGAAGTGGAGACTAAATAGTTGAGTTTTTAGTCGTTTCTTGAAAATAGCGAGTGACTCTGCTGTTCTGATGCAGTTAGGGAGTTCATTCCACCAACTGGGCAGATTGAGCGTGAGCGTTCGCGAAAGTGATTTTTTCCCTCTTTGGGATGGAACCACGAGGCGACGTTCAATCACAGAACGCAAGTTTCTGGAGGGCACATAGATCTGCAGAAGTGAGTGCAGATAAGAAGGTGCTAGGCCAGAAGTCACTTTGTAGGCAAACATCAGAGTTTTGAATTTGATGCGAGCAGCAACTGGCAGCCAGTGCAAACGGACTAGCAGCGGAGTGACATGTGCTCGTTTAGGTTCATTGAAGACAACTCGTGCTGCTGCATTCTGGAGCAGTTGAAGAGGCTTGATAGAGTTAGCTGGAAGCCCAGCTAGTAGAGAGTTGCAGTAATCCAGTTTGGAGAGAACAAGAGCTTGAACAAGGAGTTGAGCTGCATGTTCAGATAAGAAGGGTCGGATCTTTCTGATGTTATAGAGTGCAAATCTGCACGATCGAGCAGTTCTAGAAATGTGGTCAGAGAAGTTTAGTTGGTCATCAATCGTTACTCCAAGGCTTTTCACCATTTTGGATGCCGTAATGGTTGCCCCATCCATCTGGATTGAAAAGTTATGGTGTAGAGTCGGGTTGGCAGGAACTACAAGCATTTCTGTTTTTGCGAGGTTC